TTCCTTCCTTCTTTCCTTTCTTCCTTCCTTCTTCTTTCTTTCTTTTTCTTTTATTTTTATCCCGTTTTGTTTTTTCAAGCTGCCAGGTCCAGACTCCATCCGCACACTCGGCTATATGGGATCCAACTGCCTTAACCACCACTCCACCAGCTGGTCCAGGAATTTGGTACATAACAAAATTAGCATTACAAATCAGTAGTAAAATGATGGAAGACTACTCGGTGGAGTTGTATGATGGTTATCTATAATATATGGAATGAATACCTTACAATAAACATAAAAAAAGATTCCAGGTGAGTTTAAGTACTAGATACGAAAAGCAGAACTTCAAGACTTTTGAAAGAAAACACAGATGAATAATTTTATGATTTGAAGGTAAGGAATGTTTTTCAGGAAACTAAAGAAGAACACAAACTGAGCTTGATGTCCTTTCTCCTCCTTTCCCTGTCCTGCTTTGTACCTCCTGAGCCTCACTGAGTGAACTGCATCCTCCCTGGCCCCCTGGCTGTTAGTCAGCTCAACAAAGGCAACTCAGGGACCAGCAGTTAGCATAATGGCTATGTTGCTGGACTCCCATGTAGTCAACTGCAGTTGGAGTCCTGGACCCAGTGGCTTAAACTCACGCCGGGTGCTTGTGCGTGCGTACCCAAGATCCTGAGAGGAGAATGGAGGAGAAGTGATTGCCCGTGGCCATCCCACCTGGGGGGTGATTTCTTGCTTTCTGTCTCTCTCTCTTTCTGGCGAGCACATGCACCTTATAGTAAAAACCTCTCAAAACAAAAACAAAAACAAAAACAAAACAAAGGTGATTCAGCGTGAGAAGGTCTGAGAATAGGAGGAAATCTTAAGACGTGCTGGTTATTTTCCTGCTCCCCTTAATCCTGTGTGAGGTGTGTGTCCCTCTACCGTGGGTTTACAGCTCCATCAGTCATCTCGCTCCTTTCAGTTAACCCTTACCAGGTTCCAGGGAGAAGTCTGGGGTCGAGTGGTTTTTGCTCCTCACCATTGTTCTATCCCTTGTTGGTTTCCCTAAACCCTTATCATATCTTTATAAATGTCCTCTTATTAAACTCTCCACAATTTCATAAGTTTATCATCTGTTTTCTTTCAAGACCAGCTAATAAGTCAAAAAAAAAAAAACTGATTTAAAACTTCTGCGTAATAAAACAACCACAGCAGAATGGAAGGAATGGAGGGAGGGAGGGGGACAGAAATAGGGGGAGGAAGGAAAGAGGAGAGGGTCACAGGAAGATTTTTGCAATGCCTGTACAGACAAAGAATTACTATCCGAAATCCGTAGAGAACTACAGATCAACAAGGGAAATAGGGAAGAGACTTAAATAGGAACTTCATAGATGTGGAAGCCAGAATAGCAGACACAAAATAAAAATCAGAGAAATACACGTTTCTAATCCTTCCCCCAACTTCTGAGCTTCTTATGTCCTCTCCTTCCTCCTGGGGACACCTGTAAGTTGAGAAACAGATGGAGATGAAGTGCCTGAGGCAGTCAGGTCAGTCCCCGTTTAGAAACTTAACTGGGACAGACAGCAAAGAGGTTTACAGAGAAAGAATGAACTGAATAAAGAGCTCGAGGATGTGACCCAGACTGCAGAGGTGTAGACAGAGGAAAAAGTGCTCAGTGAGTGCGTGCTGAAAGGAACCTTCACAGGAACCTAGAAGAGACATGGCGAGATTGAGGGCACTAACCCACCAGAGACAGAGAGAGACAGAGGTGAAGATGTGTGAATGGAGACAGAGGTAATAACTTGTAAGGAATGGGTAGGAAGTTGGGGGAATTCATCCCTGATGGTCTCTATTTACTTGGAGGATGGTACAGAGATAGAGAACAGTGCAGCTGCTGTGGGAGAGAGAGAAGGCCTGGGTTGGGGGGGAGAGGATCAGACTAAGAGTAAAACTGGGGACAGGACCCCCTGCTCTGGCTTACTATACACCAAACTGCTTGAATCACTCTAAACAAACTGATCTTCCCCCAACCCAACCACTCTCCTTAAAATCGTAAACTTCTGTCAAACTGCGCTACTCGTAATTGCCTTTTACGTAAATTGCCTCTAGCTGGTAATGTATCACTGCACTGAAGTCCCAAAATGCATCTATTGATAGCCATTGCCACTTAAAAGAATCATTTTTAAAGTGTTGGAAAAGAGATAATGGGGAAAAATAATTATCTTCATATTTCTCTTCATAATTGTTAAAGATAAATCAATAGGATATGCAAATAAAAATATTTTTAACGAGGAAATATAGACCCTATTTTTCAGCATGTTTTTTCATTTGGAGATCTGGATTAAGGGTTTACAGATGCAAAAGAACTTCAAAGAGTTAATGGAAAATTAAATAAAAGTATGTTTGTTTTGGCATATAAAATGAAATTCATACATAGTTTTTTCATCACTAATCCTCTGAAGACTCCCTCATCCAACTACAGAGTTCATTGGTTACCTGTATTGTGTTATTGGAGCTCCTAAGTCAGGGCAACGCAACAAGTTGTCATGTGCCTATAGGGTTCAAGATACTGTGTTTATGAACAGGGAGAAGAAGGGGTTGTACAAAATAGGGGAAGCCTTTGGCTGAAGAGATGGTGTATAATGCTTGTATATAAAATAGCATTATTCCAAGTAATTTCAATCTCCAGCAGTCTGCACTTTTTCCACAGGCTTGGAGGTAGATATATGATCTCCAAATAGGTGTGTTTTCCCATCAGAACTGACCTTCAGGTTTGCTTAAAGCAATACTACTGCTCCTACTGCCTCACCTTTGTTTAATGACAGCTATTTTCTAATGCTAGCATTGGGTTAATGGACTGAGATGGTAGAAAATCAAACATATCTCTCCGTTTTACACCAGATTGCCTTTCTGCCTTGTGGCTTTAATCATTCAATCCTACTCACATCTGCCATAATAACAATTATGGGGTTTCTACTGCTTTCTCACCCAGGAGGATATGTCAGAGTATAGCAACATCTCCTGAAGAAAAGAAGAGTACATTCTTAATCTTTTCTGGCATTGTAGGTAATAATTTTCTCTTGCAAACCCCCAAGGAGTACTTCTTTTGGCTCTCATACCCATCACTTCCATAGGTTCGTGGCTCTATTCTGATTTATGGGTTTTGTTCAATCCTTTGTCTTCTGAGATAAGTTTTAATTATGTAGACAGATTGTAAAAGCCTTTTTCTTTTTGTAAACAACTATTTCTTTGTTAGTAGTAGATTTTGTTTAACTGGTTTCCTCCAATCTGAATCTTATGTACCCGGGAATTACGTCTGTTTGTTGTTTAACTGTGGCATCAAGAGAAGAGAAAGCTAGCTTCTTTTCATAGCTTCCCTTCAGGGAATTCAATCTTGGAACACTGAAAATTGCAAATCTCCTTTGGGAATGATCTTTTATTGCATATGTGGAGAAAGCCCATGATGTTTTAGTTTTGATTCAATGTAAAATCAAAGTATCAAATAAGCAGTGTGATAGTACTCTCAGTTCTACTTATTTAAAAATCAAGAAAATGCTTGACATTCTCAAAAGCACTATTGACAATGTTAATAGTTGCCCCTTCCTTAGAGAGAGGTGGATTTGTAGAAGAGTCTTGGATACTGCTGGTAACCCTTGTTCTTTCCCTGGTCCCTTCAAGGGAATAGTTAAGATATAAGAAAAATTATTTTTGACACTTTTTTTCTTGTTCTACATAAAAACTTTTAACTTTTTGGAGGATTTATTTTTCTAATCAGGAGATCATTCTAAATACTGAAACATATTTATCCTAATTCCAACCTTTTACATTACCTTTAAAGCCCGTTTGTATAAAAATTAGTTTTGCCAAGAATATAGGTAACTAGTGTTTAACCAAATTAACAATTTCCCATAGCAGTTTTTAACTTTTAATTGATGCCCTACCAAACACCTCTTAAATAGGCCAAGTTGAAAACCTTCCTCCAACATTTTGAGGCATAGTTGGAATAAAAGAGATCATTTTTAGATGCTGAAATGTGTGTGATCTTCACTTTGAGGAAATATTTATTCAGCTCACCCACAGGAGGTGGGGTCTGTGACCAAGGAGCAGCCAAGGTTTCTGGCTAGTGTTAGATACAGAGCTATGACCTTGGCCCCATTAATTGAACTGCTGACCAACTGAGTTCATGCTGACTAATGTCTGCTTGCCAGGCAGTTCCTTGGTATCAGGGATTCTTGGGTTTAGACAAAAGTGCATGAACAAATGGCATGTTATGTAAGCCTTAGTGTGTGTATATATTTTTCTAAGGGGAGCATTCCCATTTTCATCAGATTCTTGAAAGTAGTTGCTACAAAAATAATAATAAAAGGTTGAGATTACATTAAATGAGATTTTCTAAAACAGTCATTTGAGGTTTTTTTTTTTTTAAGTATGTGCATTACCGAGATAGACTTTTATAATAAAAGGGAGATTTTGGTAAATCTATATTATTATGAGAGGGGTCTTTGAACTTTGATCTTATAATATTCAATTTTTATGCTTTTGAAGGATTTTGAGTATAACCTTTAAGTTGGAGAAGTCTGTTACTTTTATATGAGAGGTAAATAACAGATTAAACCCTCCATTTTGAATTTTAAACATTTTATATTTTATATATTTTAAGGCCTGAAGTGAATTTTTCTCCTACTTCCTATTTTTCCAACTTTCTTCTTTAGTGATCCATCATGTTAGTCTTATTCCCCCTTACAATCATTTAAAGCAACCCAAACCTTACTTTGTAATATAAGAAGGTTTAAACCTGACAAAACCTAACTAAATGTTAAAGTGTTACTTATTAACTTTAGGATAATACATTCCTTAGACAAGCTACAAATATACAATAAAAAATTGTCATTCTAGAGACACTTAGCTTTTTGTCTTTAGAACATCATAGTGCATGTAAGTGTTCAGAGTTGTTGATATGCTGCATATTTATACCATATTTAGGAATAAATGTCATCAGACATGTACAATGTGTTCTTTTTTTTTTTTAATTCTAGGTTACTTTATGGAATGGGCCCTTATAGAATAAGACAAGAAATTGAGTGTTTCCAGGAAAACAAATTACGTGGTCTTTGAATTCAGAACTGAAGAGAAATGCAGCCATCTGAAATGGTCATGAACCCCAAACAAGTCTTCCTCTCTGTGCTGATATTTGGAGTAGCAGGGCTACTCTTCTTCATGTACCTGCAAGTCTGGATTGAAGAACAACATACAGGTAACAGTGCACTTACATATTCTATTGTAATCATATTAATAATGGCCATTTCAATTAAGTAAGCTGTGATATTTATAGATACATGGAAAGTAACAATATTCTAACAACAACAATTATGAGCCAAACTAAAATCCTCAGCTTCTAAGGTAAAAGATTATACAACTCTCGTGGACATGTGCACTACAATTTATATAAACTCTATTATGTTAAATTTTCTATATTACTGCAATAATTTATTATAAAATATATACTATTTAATAAAACCACCTGTGATAAAGTATATAGGGTAATTCCTCCTGCAATATAATTAACAAAGATCTTGTCACATAGTAAGCCTTTAATTGGTATTCATTGAATGAATGAATCAGTTGAAAATTCACTGCAGATTACAAACTAGAATATAGCAAAGGAAGAAGAATCTGTATGATCTCACTTTTGAGAGATTTTCTAATATCGTGTTCTCAAAACGACTAAGAGTATCACAGTAAGGCTCCAATATATAAAGGAAAATATAGTCACTATACAGACTACAATATGGAGAAAATATGGTTTAGTCTGTTAATAAAGAAACTATGTGATATCTGAGGAGGTAGTCAAGTCACATCATAATACCCTTCATAAATAATGTAGTTCACAAATGTGTCCACAAGTATCAATAGCTACCACTTATTGAGAGCTTAGTAAATGCTAAAGTTTTATATAAATATTCCCTAATTCTCATAATATCTTACTAGGTGGATAATATTCTAAGTAGACAGAAGAGGAAATGGAAGCTTCAGAGAGATAAGGGGCATATTGAAAGCTTGCATGTGTAAGTCTTGGTGCAGAGGGAAAGCCTGGATTTGAACCCACATTGTACCACTTTAAGATTCTTGCCTTTAATCTCCATATCACCCCTGTGAGGGGAAAAGGTGAATATTATTATCCCACTGTACTTGAGTTGAAGCAATAGACCCAGAAAATTTAAGGGCCTGCCCAAAGGTATAAAATTGAATTTTTCTTTTTTTCTTTTTTTGGAGAGGTTATTTTTTTTTTAAGCTATAGGGCACGTGTGTTCGCCAGAAAGACAGAGAGAGACAGAGAGAGACAGAGAGACAGAAAGCAAGAAATCACCCCCCAGGGGGGATGGCCATGCCGCAATCCCTTCTCCTCCATTCTCCTCTCAGGATCTTGGGCACGCATGCACACGCACCTGGCATGAGTTTAAGCCACCGGGTCCGGAACTCGAACCACGGTTGACTACATGGGAATCCAGCGACATAACCATTACGCTAACTGTTGGTCCCTAAAATTGAGTTTTTGAAATATGATCCATACCCAGGTTTTCCAACTCCTCATAAACTCTAAGTCTTCTAACAAAAATGGTGGATAAAATAGTTATATAACAAATGTAATAATATCAGTACAGATACTAAGCAACATGGAAGTTTATAGATGTATAATGTCTTCAGCAAGTTGGTTCCTAATTTGAATTTATAACTTTCCCTAATACTGAACAATTATTTACTTTGGTCAGGATTGACCAGTAAAACATTTACCATTTATTCTCTTCATTTTTGTTTGTAATTTGCTTAAATTACTTTTCTTGATTCTTGATGTATTTTTAATTAATTATTTGATATTATATTTCACAAACTACTCATGTCAATGAGTATAAACATTAAAACCAACATTCCTTTAGATAACTATTTTAATGAGGGAAAGTTGTATTGTTTCTCAAAAAGACTGACATCTGGACTTATGCTATTGAGTAGTTCATCTGTCTTATACTAGTGTACTAGACTAGTATAATTCCATAGTTTGCTTGGTAGGGGAGTATCTATGTATTGATATTTTATGTATGTTTCAAATAGCATTAGGAACTTTGGACATTTTAAATGGCAATCTCGGTTTCAATTTTAAAAAAAGGAAACTAAAGTTATGCTTTGAAATTAAGTTAAAATTTGGAATATCTATCTTTGTAACACTTTAGAACTGTCACCCAAAGAACACTAGAAAATTAGTTAGTATTTTGGTTCCTGAGATTTTTCTATAACTGATGCAGTATTTTTTTTGTTTTGGTTTTGGTTTTCGTTATAGTGCACATGTACTTGCCAGAGAGAGAGGAAAATAGATACTAAGAAATCAAACCCCAGGGGATATGGCCATGCCAGAGTCCCTTCTACTCCATTCTCCTCTTGGGATTTTGGGCACATGTGCACACATGCCTGGCATTTTTTTCAAGTTGCTGGGTCTGGTACTCAAATTGCATAGTCAGCCACGTGGTATCCAGTCTTTTAACCTCCATGAAACTTGCTGGCCCAAGTGATGCAGATTTTTTTTTAAATCTAAATTGCTTTGATATTATATATGCTTCAGATATATATGAGAATTCTTAGGTTCTCTTCATCCTTTTTATTTGAGACCCTTAAATCTAAGATAGGGTGCCAGCCCCATAACCTAGTGAATAAAGAAGTCGGATCCTGCATGGCTGACCAGTTTAAATTCCTGCCTTGGCGATTTTAAAAACATGCTGAGTGTATATATATGTATATCCCAATTCCTGACTGGATGGAGAGATGAAGGTGAGGGGATTATGATGTGACCAACCTCCATTAAAGGGTGCTTCCTCCCCCTCCCTCTCTGTATCTCTTTCTGGCAAACTCACATGTTCTGGCGATTAAAAAAATATATTAAAACATCTAATATATGGACTATTTTCTAACTCTCCTTGATTTTTCTGAGATCCTTCTATTAAGATAAAATGCTTTGGAACCAGCAAATGTGTAATGGTTACTTCAGTGAAGTCACCTGTAGTCAGCTGTAGTTCGAGTCATGGACCTGGTGGCTTAAAAGCTCATGCCAGGTGCATGCCCAAAATCCCAAGAGGAGAAGAAAATGTGGTGTAGCCTTCCCACCTGGGGGTTGGTTTCTCACTTTATGTCTCTCAATCTCACTCTCTTTCTCTGGTGAGCGCACATGCCCTATAAAAAAGAAAATCTCTCTCTCTCAAAAAAAAGAAAAAATGGTTTAGAAGTACAAAAAAAATTAAAACGTGGTCAGATAAGCTAGTGAAGGATTGTGAAGAGAGGTTTTTATGGTAGATAAAGAGGGAAAATGTGTGGCAGAGAAATTAAAATTTATCCAATTATGCAGCAGTGACTTCTATGATATTATTATCAATTACTTTGTCCTAATTTTTGGTATATAGATGTATTATTATGAATTTTGTTTTTTAAATTTGTTTTAAGTGTTGTTAAGAGTATGCATTTTCCATTCAGAGGTTATGTGTGTGTGTGTGTGTGTGTGTGTGTGTGTGTGTGTGTGTGCATATCAGTTATTTAAATAGGTTCCTGGCAAGAAGTTTAGAGGAGGATAAACTTGTAAGGATAAACTCTATTTGAAAGGGCAAACACAGATCACAGGTAGCCCTGGAACTGAGAAACAGCTTTGATTTTTGATTTTTGGAAACATTTGTGAGTCCACAGCTTTTTTTTTTTTTTTTTGGAGAGATTTTCACTGTAGGGCGCGTGCGCTCGCCAGACAGACAGAGAGAGACACAGAGACAGAAAGCGAAAAATCACCCCCCAGGGGGGATGGTCACGCCGCAATCCCTTCTCCTCCATTCTCCTCTCGGGATCTTGGGCACGCACGCACACGTGCCCGGCGTGAGTTTTAAGCCACCGGGTCCGGGACACGAACCGCGGTCGACTACGTGGGAGTCCAGCGACATAGCCATTACGCTAACTGCTGGTTCCCAGTCCACAGCTTTTTGATCAACATTGTACTGCTCTATAATCTTGTATTTCTCTTTCTCTGTGTTGAAGTAAGCATCTATGAGGTATTTGAGGATTTCTACTTTGCTAATAAGAAATTTCACATGTGTTCTACACAATGGAATTTGAGTGAGGACCAAAGGTCCAGTCACAACTAGCAAGCCACCGCTCAATTGCTTCAGGAAAACCACTCTTGCCTCTGTGGTGTCCAGTGAGGATGATCAGAATGGTCCTGCGAGTGATGCTAGCTCACAACTTTCTCACTTGCTAACTGAAGGGGTCTTTGCTATGGCTCAACAGCTTTTGAGACACATAGTCAGTAGGACAATACCTAGTCATTTTGCAAAGTTTAACTACCAGGATACCACCATTTTTGTCACCACCAACTGGTTTTGTGACAGTAGCAAGAACCCAACTTGTTTTGTGACAGTAGCAAGAACCTTCTCCTTTTTCTTTTCAATTCTGATTTTGTTTGCTGAATATTTCCTCTTATACATGGTCTTCTTGGAAAACATGGCAGCTCTGGAGTACCTGCCAATTCCTTGGGCTAGGACCGGATTCTGGCTGCAATGAGATTTCCTTTCTTAGACTTTTTTTAGCCTTGAGGTCACCTCTTTTTTTTTTTTTTTTTTAGATTTTTTTGCCTTAAGCCATAAGCACTCACCGGGGAGAGAGACAGAGAGACAGAGAGAGACAGAGGCAGAGATGGTGAGGGAAAGTAAGAAATCACTGCCCAAGGAAAAATGACCATGCCACAATCCCTTTTCCTCCATTCTCCTCCCAGAATCTTGAGTATGCACACACATGTGCCCTGTGTGAATTTCCACCCACCAGGTCCAGGACTCAAACTATGGTTGGCCATATGGGAGTCAAGAAACATAACCTATACTTCATCTGTTGTCCCCCAGGGGTCACCCTTTTTAACCTTGCCTCTGGTATCAGCCTTCTTGGCTTCAGATTTCATTTCCTTCTGGCTTCTCAGCTTTTGTACCTGCCACAGTGTAAAATGAGAAAGAAGGAGTTTTTTTAAAGATGTCATGATTCTTGTGCTTCAGTTTCCCAGCTGGGGCTATAACCACAACTGTATGTCCACCTCTTTTTTAGATAGGGTCTTATTCTATTTCTCAGGTCAGCTTAAGCTCACAATCCTCATACTTCAGCTCCCTCCCTTCTGCCTTGGGTTGTACACAGCCTTAGATTGGACTGGGAGTTGATCCTGGGTCTGTCATGTGGTCCCAGCTTACA